CATACTAAACAGGTCAGGGAAAATGCAGTTGTGGAGGACCACTTTTGTTGAAGAGAAAGTAAAAGGAATCTTCTAAAAATTCAGGACATTCAGGAAATAATATTTTCCTTTTTTTTCTGTCATATTTTTCTGGAAGTGGCATCAAGTTTGTGTAAATAGAAGTTCTATCTCATGTCCTTGATTATGTTACGGAGATGTGCCATGATGTACTGTACCGTGGCTCTATTAGCACCATTATAACGGTGTCTTTTTTAAATCCAGAAAGGGCGCGCACGCTCAAAAAATTTCTTTTTACATTTAAGAATTATTCCGAGGCTGCAATCATACCTCAAGGTTGCATTCCTACATCGACTAATCAGAGCTTCACATCATCCAACGTAAAAGAAAGATTACAAAAAAGATGCACTTTTTTTGAATTTGCAAGGATCTCATGTAGTATAAAGCCAAGTCTGAGGGTTGCAAACCTGTGCTGGACTGAACTTGATGCATTGCCGTTGTATATGTAGAAGGGCACGATGAATTTTAATTGCAGTAGGAGGAAATGGAGAAGTAGAAAGCACAAAACAATGTTGCACAAGTCACTTGAATTCTAAGATGTCGTTGTGTTTTAACATCTACATGCTTTTTAATTTGTTTCAAATGGAAATGTATTTGGAGTACAGAAAAGGAAAAGGAGAACGTCTAGGTGCCAAGAAAGCATAACTTATGTTGAATTTGGCATGTCACATGTTGGGAATTTATATCCTTGTATTGCTGTGGTAATTCAAACGCGTATTTTGTATGAAGTGATATAAACAGTTGGATAAAGGCTCTTGACAGAGAATCTTATTATTTTGAACAGGCTGTGTAAAGCTGAGGAAGGTAAATGGAAATATCTTATTAAATTTGTCTGGCCTTTTGCGATTTTACAATTTGTTGATTGCATTTTTTGAACTTTCAGCAACAACCACTTTTCATATTTATTTCCCATTGTAAGAACGCTTGAAATCGATTGAAACTGTGTATGTTGTTCTCTAATGTAAACGTGCCAGCTACTGAGCTAAATCCTTCTAGGCAAATCTAGTGTATGCTGCATACAAATGAGACACTGGCAGGACACAGAATAGCTTAAAATAGTGTGGAATTTTTGTTTCTTTTTTTCTGATTTATCTGGAATATATAAACAAATACCATTTCAAAACACAAGCAAAGAACAAGCCATTCTCTTCTCTTCTGACCATCTCAAAAGCCAAGAGCTGCAACTGAAAGCACACTGTAAAACACCTTTAAAAATAATGAGTCTTTCTGCCATTGTTCTGTACAACGTTATCCTAAATGGCACACAAAGTAATAGAGTTTATATGTAGTTCACCAGAAGGGTATTGAAATGTGAGTGAAGAAGTAGTTGCATTTTATACTGTGTGTATTCAGAGTCTCCTTTTTACTCTTTATAGACTCTTGCATTGCACAACCAAAGATTATGTAATGAGAAAATGAGATCAAATTTGCTTGTCTTATAGCTGTCAGTCCCTTTTTGACTATAGGGGACAGGCCATAAGGAGAGGTTGTGCCATTTGGACTGTATAATTTCAACAAATAAAGGAAATATGCTCTCTTCTTCACATTTGCCTTCAGGTCTCCTTCCCAGTATACAGACAAGGAAATTTCAGATAAAAGATGAAAATAAGTAATTGCCAGCATTTTTTCTAATCTTTTTTAAAATCTAGGGGAAAAAAAGTCTGCTGGTTTTCAACAGGTTTTGTTGACGGACTCAGCCTGCCAAATGTCATCTTTCAATAACAGTCTTTTTTTTCCACATCTTTTTGCAAGAAGCCTTTCCACGCAATGGTATAAAATGGAAAGACACCTTTTGTTCAAGAGAAACAGTTCCCTCAATGAATGATCAAAATGATGAATCACGAGCTGCAGTGTGATACTTAGGCTTTGCACATGGATCTTTGTTTTCCCCTCTCGTTGGTGGTTTCCCACCACTTCATATCCCCATCTGTGATCTCACTTTGAATTTTAACAGAGGGGGCCCTGACGCCTTTGATTACCTCATGTCAGTCTTTAAAAACTGGCTCCAATGATAACCAGAATTTTTTGGTTTGACTACTGCAAAAACAGACAGCAGTTCCCACCGCTGGTGTTCAGGTGTGATGCAGATTTCAAGAACTCTGCAGCATAGGAACGGTTGAATCTGCGTGGCTTTAATTCTGTGGATCACCGGTTATACATTTTCTTTACAGCCTGAGAAAGTGGCATCTGACATAGTTTTCTGCCTCTCTCTGTGCAACAACACTGTGTCAAAGGAACAAAGTGTCTTACGGTGCAAATATACGATCTGTTGGCTTTAGTAGTGGAGTTGGTTTAGGAAGGGTTATTTTTAATGCGGATCACAACAATGGTCTGACTTCCATCATGGCCCCGCAGGGAATTGGCACGAAAAGGAAGCTCGTGTGCAGCGAACTCCTGCCCGAGGGTGAGAACGAGGGGCTGGGGAAAGGCAGAGAGTTCAGCTTCTTGGGACAGTTTTGCTGCCAGCACATTGTGTAACTTCACTCTCACTGTATGTTCTTCCCAGACCAGGTATTTTTTTTAACTTGTAAGCATGCCAGGAGGAAAGCGGTGACTCAGATTCCCATCGTCTTAACAGAATCATACAGAGACATCAGCCAACAAGCTGCTAAGGAGAAAATTCCCCACCATAAACTGTGAGGTCACTAGAGGGGGATGTTAACCTGGGATGAAGAGGAATTGAGGAGCCCTCCTTAAATCTGGTTCAGTTACAGTAGGATTTGCGCCTAGTGGCCTTTGCCAAAACCCTAATTCCTCACTGTTGTTGAGCAAGGTACTGGCTTCTTCTGATTCACTTGACCATCGCCATCTGCTCCGAAAGCAGTTCCTTTTAATTCAGCATCTATATAATCTCTGATGGACACTTGCTGGTGAAGGGCACTACTGCATATCAATGCCAGCTGGTATCACAAGTTTTCCAGTGCATCTCCAAATTTTGTTTTCCTAACTTGGTAAAGTCGCAGCGGGTTCTGTCGTAACATACAGTCACACCTGAGACTACACTGTCCTCGCAAAGTTAGATTTGCCTCCACACCAGCAATAAAACCTTGGCACTGGTATATATTTTCAGAGAGATATGCACACTAAAGTGACCGAGGAGTAGTTAGTGGCACACTCGTATTAGTAGCAGCTTCGGCATGTCAGTGTGCAACAGGGCATAACCTTGTTTGCTGCCTGTGACAAAGAATATCATGGCACCGAGCTGTGCATTTCCTTCACATAGTCCTAGTGACTGTTTGGATACGGTAGATTTAATATTATTTAAAATCCCAATATTGATGATTTTTTGCATCTGCTGTTGATTTTGGCAGAGAGTTGTAAACAAATGCCTTGCCTGAATTGCTTATAGGCAAACACTGCATGCTTTAATGAGAGTTCTTAATCTAACTTGTCACTCTGTTTACATCAAACAGTTTCTTCCTGGCCCTTTATCTAATTTTCTTCATCTCTGATGTTCTGTTCCTTCTTATTCTCTTCACAATCCCTTTATCTTTTCTTCGAGGATGTGCAACTCAGAAGTGTTTATTTTGACAATATTATTCAGTGATCTCTGCACAGATGAATAATGCCTTCGGTGCACATCCAGTGATGCTCTTACAATAGAAGCCTTATCAGAGGGGTGAATTTGGCCCTTTGGCTTTTCAGTAGAGTAAATTAACACATTAAAAGGTAGCAGATAAAAAAGCTTGCCTATAATATAATCAGAATTTTTCTCAGTAAACATTCAGTAACCAGAGTTTCCAAACCATTGGTTGCAAATCAATGAGCAGAACTGTCCACAAGCCTGGAGGTGGACTCTTAGTCAGATTCCCTTTGTAGTGCTGCCTTATTTCTCCTTTTGAAAAAGGTTGAAAGTGGTTTTGTAAGCTGAAGTCTGGCGGTGCCCTAAAATTGAGTTTATTTTTTTACAAGCTAGACATCACTCCACTACTTTTGTAGGATAATATATGGCACGTAAAATAGTAATGTCGTAGGCCATTGTTACAAAATGTGATGCTAAGAGGTCTGTGTGAATAGTTTTGTAATAATTACTGGGCAAATCTCTCACTATTCAAGTTGCCTTACAATAGTGCTGGAGTTCCCAGCTGGTTGCCCTCATGAGGGAGGAGAACTGAAGGGAGCTCTAGTGAAAAGGGCTCTGTAACAAAATCTGTGTAGCTGTACGATCGAAAAACATTATTGTGGTGTCAAATGACACCACTGATTTTTATCAGTCATGGTGAACTGATGCCATCAATTTGAACTTGCGGGTTTTTTTGCTCCTTTTGGATGAACAAAAGGAGGGACTTTGAACAAGCAGAGACATCAGTGGGGTCTCTAGAAGTACTAAGCGTTAGACCTACTTTTCTACCTACAAAAATCTTACCCCTACCTGAGTGCTGCCCACTAAAAAAAAGAGGAAATCAATCCAGTCCTTAGTATAGAAAATCACTCCCAGTTCTTGTATCTTAGCTTTTTACAAATGTTATTAGTTTATTAATGATTACACAGAAGGCTACAACAAGGACTGGATTTCACACAGCAAACGAGTTCTTGCCCTGATGACTCTAGACCAGTATCAGAATATTTTGTCTTTGATTATTTTAGTAGGATAGGGCAGGGGGTTGCCTGGTGGTTTTGGCAGAGGGAGTTTCTCTGGATGTGTAGCAGGTGTCAGAGGGAAGATTTTGGGGTTGATCCTGTGGTGTTCTAACTAATTCCCCCCAGCTATGCCACTGCTGCCCTAAAACGTCTTTTGCAAGAATTTTCCAGGGTTTAGAGAAGCATGTGCTCACCAATAAAATACCTTTGCTTGGCAAATAGGACAGCAAATGTGATAAAACAGCAGTGACCTTTCTAGAATTATGGGATGATGACTCTCAGATTTCTCAAAAGGCCTCATTTTGATTACTAGAAGAAAGTAGTTTTATACATC